TTTTTAATTAGAAATTAAATTTGGGGCTAGTAACTGAAGTGTGTTAGTGTTACTGCTTCTCTGTAAGCTCTGGATTTAATACAGCTTTATTACTATTTACTTCAAATAACCTATTCATTTTGTTGTGGCAGAGTTCACCGTGGCTATGTATCTAGAAGGTAAACATATAGCCTAACTTAACATAATATTCCTCCAGTAGTGAGAGGAGGTCCTTCAATGGGCTGTGCATCCCATCTCTCTTAAAAGGGGAACACCCAAAAAGTATTCATCTTTCCATTGACTGTGGTGAGCTAATCCTGCCCTCTTAGAAAGCTCCTTCCTTCTAGCATAGTGTCAAGGTGCATACAGATTTGTTTGGGTTTTTTCTGGCACAATTAATGATTTTGTTGTTTGCACCAAAGATGAGTTGAGTATGTTCCATTTTGCTCAAACCAGTTTTGAACAGCAAGACATGCATTTACATTTGAGTGTTCTCCTTATAACAAGACCCATATAAAGTGGCAGAGGAAAACAATGCGGAAACTTTTCCATACTTGTACAGTTGTTGGATTCTTTTTGTGCTTTTTTTTTTTCTTAGGAGCCTAAACCAGAGAAGTTACTTGTATTAAAAAGCAAATAAATACTTTTCAGATTCTTCTTTTATGTAATTTATAACATTGGTTTTAAATGGATCCCCCTTTTGAAAAATACATTTTTTTCTATGTTCATTCTTGGTTTAGACTCTCCCAGGTAGGGGCAGTCTTGGTCTTCAACATAGAAAACCGTGAATTCTCTTATTTCTTGCATCAAAAAACAAAACCCCAAACAACAAACCAGCATGCTAACAGACCACTCTCAGTTGTGTTCTTGTGACCTAAAGCGGACAATGCTTGGACTGGAAAACTGTAGGGTACAAAATGGAGCATTGCCTGGATGTGGGCCCTTCCTTAGCATGAACTGACGCTGCGAAAGCAGTGGAGTGCCTGTGCGTACCCTCAAGACGTGTTGCAGTACTAGAAAAGACCAATATCATTATCCAGCCTAGCCAAGCAGTAAGAGAAAAGTAATCCCTGTTGCTAAATGTTCTTGCATTGAGTCTATAACTCCTTCTCAGACTTAAAACAGATCTTTTAGAAAAACACGCAGTCTTTATTCTAAACTCTCAACAGACAGAAAATGCACTGCAATGCTAAGTAATTTTTCATGTGTAATTACTCTCGCCAGGTAAAACTTAACACTCTCTTCAGTAAAAATAAATGCTCGTCTGATTTAATCTGAGGTAGATTATTTTTCAAATCTTGAAAAAGTATTTTAGTGCTTTCCTGAAACTTTTCAAAATTGTCAGCATTCTGGACAGAAATGTAGAGGCTGGAAATGGATGAGCTATTGCAGTACAGATTATCTGTTCAGAACAACTGTTCCATGGGAATTTTTCTCTCTTCCTAATTGGCTGGTTTTTGTTTGTTTCCCTTTTCAAATAACATTTCTCTTAAAAGCCTCGCTTACCAGATTTTTCTGATAACCTTTTTTTACCCATCTATGTGATCATTTCTTCATCTTCATCACTCTCCTGTATGTTGGTGTCATCCTGAGGGTCTTCTCAGCAGAACTGTATCTTTCTTCCATGTGCATGAAAACGTTTTGATCAAAGTTGGGACAAATCAGATCACTGCGTCGCTCTTTTCTGTTTAGAAATAATTTTTCAGTCAGTTAACTAGTTTGCAGCCTGTAAGCTGCACTGATATTTTTATATTGCTCAAAAAAACCTCAGAATGTCATCTGTGATTAAGTCAAATATATTAAAGAAATCAGAGGTAACTGTGTTAACATATTTAATCATACTTGATCTCATCAAACTTACCATTTTGATTAAACCTGTTTTCCATAATGCCATGTGGAATGGCATTAATTACGTGCCTGTGCTTTGATTCTTTATTGATTGTCTTACAGCAGTCTTCCCATGAGCGTCTGGAACAACACACAGCTTGTGTGACCTGTACCTACATGCTTTAGTTCTACTTCTTCTAAATATTGTCCCCCTCCGAGCTTTTATCAGTCCTATATATTTTCCCATTTTCAAAGGCTTCTTTTAAAATCACTGCTTGTGTTCAGGGCATCTCCTATTCCAGTTCTTTCATGTTGTTGGATGCCAATTCATCTGATCCTTTTTCAGTTTCACTTCAGTTTAGGACTTTATCATTTGTCTGAAAAAAGAGATATCAGTGAACACATGGATGTATTTTTCATGACAAATTAGGGTATTTCATTGAATGTCACAGCCTTTTCTTGTTTAATGGCAAAATAGCATTGGGGCTGTTGTCTTCCTAAGCTTTTTTTTTATTCCCGATACACTAAAATAATTCTTGTTTTGGCTTTTTAGTGGAGTCTTTAGCTCCCCTTATCAAAATGTCACAATTACAAATTTGAGATTTATTCTTCTTTTGTATCTTTTTTTTTTTTTTAACTTGGAAATAAAATTTGCACTTAAAAGCTTGTCGAGTTTTACCTTTTTGCCATATTTTCTCCCAACCAGAATGTGCTTTGACAAACTCATTCCTCCATAAATGCTGTCATTTGGCAATTGTGAAGGCTTTCTAAACTACTCCCAATTACCAGGTGTAACTTCTGAAATTTATTTTGACAATTGCATTGGCTTATGTTAGTTTTCCAGCTATAGCAAATTATTCTTTCTTTTAAGCATCACACATACTTTTGTTTTTCACCAGGACTGTTATAGCAAATTAAATGGGTTAGGGGGTGCTTGGTGTCTATTCAGCTTATGATTTTTTTAGTCAATTTGTTTATTACTAGAGGAAGGTGGGAGTCTTCATGCATTATGAAGAGATCTAATATGGAATTGCTCGGAGTTCTGTAACGTACACATCCAGTCTGATTTGGTTTTTTTTTTAGGAATTCCAAGGATGTTTTGCCCAATGGAGCAGCTTGAAATCTTCCATTAAAAAAAAAAAAAGTAAAAAAGTTTGTTTCTACCATTAGACAGCTACTTACTCTCTCATGTCCTTTGACAAGGCTTCAGAATTACTCGTGATCTTTCTTACAATTTACATGTGTAGTGATTAACACATATGCATTCCATGTCTGTGTCTTCAGAATTTCCAGTAGCTCTACAGACTCTGGAGCTTCAGGTATTTGCTGGAGACTAAATTCAAAATTGAGCCCCCTGTCACTTAAAAAAGTATAAATAATACATATGAAAGGATCCATATGACTCTACTTCTTCCTGCCTCTCACTCACTTCCCCTGATATTGTAATCGAAGTCAGCATCCTCACTAAGTTAGAAGTATTTGTTTTGTGTATGAAATTTCACTTGTGGTTTCATTAGGTATATATTAATTTCCTGCCAAGATCTCCTTTAGTATGTTGCTGTTGGTTTTTTTTCTACCAGCTGTTCATCCCAGAGGTGCCTGTGCTTCGGACATTGGAATAGGTAGAGATTGGGGGAAGTGAACAGAGATTACTTCCAGTGTTTTTGTAAAAGCATCTGAATGCTTTAAATAGAAGAGGAAGCAATACTGAATAGACTTGCATCTTGTTATTTCTGTTGAATGTTTTAGAGTTCTAGGGAAAAATCAGAGGTTTTTATCTTGATTATCATGGCTTGCAGTCATAGTGTCTGGCTGCCCAGCTATTTTTCCTAATAAATTGAGAGCAGGCGTTCCTGCAGAAGGCTACGGAGGTACACAGAACCAGAGGAAGGAGTGGAGGGCTCTCATGTCCTAGTCCTTGTACAAGCCACTCCTTGGCTTGTCTTTACTCTTCTGGCTGATGAGTACTGTTCCTGGTAAATGCTGAAAGCTACAAAATCTCTGTTTTGGTGTGTCCTCCGCAGTCACGAGTTTTTATATAAAGTGACTGATTTATTTCGTCTGTTTCATTTTAAGCAAAGAAATAAATAAGAATGTCTGGGTTTATATCTCTTCCTTGTATCTTGAAACAGAGAAGAGTGTTTATGTTCACAAGCTTTTGGGTCCTTTTTCATTTCCCCTCTGTGGTTGTATGAGGTAGAGCTGTGATAAAGCTTTAGATTTTCATGTGTTTTTTTCAATTCTAGCAGCTAGGTTGTGAAGAAAAATGCCAAATGGCACACAACTTGGAAGTAATTCTAGAGTTGACAGTCCCATGCACTAAAAATACTTTTATACTTGATTTCTATGCAATATAATCCCTGAAATGTTGCTACATTTTTAAGATAAGTGCATTGAAGTAATATTTCTTTGGCCTGACCTAGCTACAGCAGAGTATGTAAATTCAGTTTCTTTCCTATTTAATGTACCATCATCAATCCTTTGTGTTAGGAGGGCCCTAAGATACTCAGTGCTCCTAGCTGCTTCTAATCACTCAAGCTGTTGGCTGCTACCCTCTAAAGCAAGTGAGGAAAGCTGAGGGTGACCTAAAAAAAAAAAAAAAAGAAAAAGGGAGATGATCACAGTCATTGGAAAAATATTCAGTAGAGCAAGCTGACATAGGGACTAAAGTGAGCAGCCTCTGGAGAGCTAAGGCTGCTGATTCTGCCTAGAGAATTGAGTTACTGTAAGAGAGTGATTCAGAAATCACAAACTGAAGTTACATTTCTTCATTGTTATTCCCTGTGCCACCTGCAGATTTGCACACTTGAAAACATCTGCTGAAAGTCAGTTTAGTGATCTCACTAGTGTAGCAAGTCATGCTTCAAAAGAACAATGTCTGGAAAACACTCATATGCAGAGTAATGGTTTGCTTTGCTTAGAGGGATGCTGTTTGCCTTGGCTGGTAGTTTCAAGAAAAAGTCAAAGAGCATAGACCAAAACCTTTTGTTCACAGTGTAATGGGGCAGCAAGACAATGAAGCTTCTCAGGGTCAGGGTCACTAAGCTGTGTCTGTGTCTTTCCTTTAGCAGCTTGTTCTCCTGTTCTCTTCCCTCTACAGCTAGTAGTTGAAACATTCAGCCAGTCCTTTGTTATATCCTGATTAGTTTATCTGTTTTTTAAACATCTCTTTCTCTTTTCCCCCAAAAAAGCAGAGAATGGCAGATAACCAGGAGAGTCAGATGACCATTGAAGAAAGGAAACACCTGATTACAGCTCGAGAAGAAGCCTGGAAGTCCAAGGGTAAAGGAGCAGCCAATGACTCAACGCAGTTCACTGTAGCTGGCCGAATGGTAAAAAAAGGTCAGTGATGAAATGATCCTAATATAAATAAGCCATTGCTTATTTGTCTAGTCAAAATAAAGTCAAGCTAAAGCTATGCAGAAACAGCATCCATGTTTAGCAAGAGGAGGACTGTTTATCTTTAACTGAATATCGTGTCATGAGACTGTTCACTCTAGCTTCTTGTGGCTGTTGGTACAGATCCATTTTGTTCTGCGCTGTTGCACTACCATCCAGTTATTACTGGGCTCTGTCTGACTGGTGGTAGTCAATCACCTGGACAGTCATATGTTTTGTTTTCCTTCTAATACAACCCAGAGGGCACAGCTGGATTATTCTTTCTTATTTATTCTTCCTTTGAAAACCCAGGTGCACTGTCTAGAGAGAAGTTGTGAAATCTAGTCATTGCTATTGCTGGCACTTGCCCCGCTCCTAGGATCACTGGGAATATTTAGCAAACACGTGTTATTTTTATGGATGCTGTTTTGGACAACAGCTTGTAGTGTTGTGTTTGGCTGAAGAAATCACTGAACAGATTTCTGCATAGATCTAGAGAGTAGAAATGACAAGGGAGCAATGTTGACATTTTTGGGATCTCTTGAATTCAGTCACTGTTTCCAGATGCAATCATTCTTCTGAAGTGGACAGGAGTCTCTAAAGGCTGTACGTGGCAGAAACATAGCTGTTCATGCAGTGCACCTGGAAAGATGATAGCTTTGGGAAGAAGGCACCTAAACCGATCTCTTATGGTTAATGAATACTAAATACTGTTTTGTTGCAAGAGCTTGGTTATTAAACACAACACCAATGAACCTTGAGTTGAATGACACCCATCAAAAAAATCATTGTGGGGTGAGGGCAGTATTGCAACAGGGAGTAACTCCATTTGCAATCCAAGCCACATTCTGTTGGCAGATAAACAGGTACATGCTATTAGGAATTACATCTATTAGTAACGTTTTAGCTGCTGCTTGCATTGTTTTGCTGCTAGAAACGCCAATGGTCAGTGTTTAGAGACTAACCTGTTTTGGAGGGCCGCCAAGAAAAAGCGTTCAGTTGTCCACAGACTGCTTTTTGCCAAATAGATTGGTCTTTGGAAAGGAATATAAAGTGATAGCATTTGCTCTTCTTAAGGGGAAAACAAAAATACCTTGAAAGGATCTCTTCAGGTGCTGCAATCATTCTTTTGGAGAAGCAAGGTAATCCTGTGACAGTGGCATCAATAAAAGTAGCCCAAGTGGGATTTTATTCAGATGTGTGCTATTTTTGCTGCCTAAAGGAATAAATTATCATGATGAGTTTTTAATTTAAGGGATGATGAGAAAGCAATGCAAAATTAAGTCCTTGTTATACACGTGCACAGATGCTGTATTTTAATTGCTTCTTATGGCTGAAAATTTTTCAGTCCTAATTGGAAGGTGATCCTTTACTAGCATCTGAAGTGGTTCTCAATGTGGTCTTGTGGATTAGGTCTTGGGAGAGCTGCTTAAGAGGTGTGTCCTCTCAAGTGCGTCTTGATGAAGGCTTTACCAGTTGACTTAAAACCTGCTGGAATTTTGAGTCTCTTAGGTAACAGGGAAAAAAATTGTTTGTGGAAAAGATACTTGATTACATTCTAAATCTATCTTGGTGTTTGACAATTATGACTTGCGAGGAGTTGCAGTAAAGATAGTGGAAACGTGGTTAGTATATATTCTTCCAGCACGATGTTGGTTTAATCTGATCAAAGTAACTAAAGGCTTAAACTTATGTGGCTCAGTAATTAGTAAGCTATGGCTAAGTGGAAATAGATATTGGAGGAATGTTTAAATGTCAGTTTCTCCATTTACTGAAAATCTAGGCAACAAGAGGCAATAGAAGCAATTCTTTGCTTCAGTATGCTTTTCTACCTAATAAAAAACATGAAACCTATACAGTGCCATTCCTCTTACTAGAGCAATGCAGATTCACGTGAAAAGAACTAAATCAAAATCATCTTATTTTATCCACTGGGTCCAGAATGAATTGCTTTATGATAGTTACTGAAAAGGAGGGAGGAGAGTACAACAAAAGGAGGGATTACTGTTTGATATGGTGTGGACTCTGACTTCTATTTTTACTTCCATTTCCTTGTGTTCTTAAAAATGCAACAGGGCCCAAGAATTACTGCTTAATCCAGGGACAGCATTCATAGGTCAGATGCATCCTGCTATGTGTTTTAATAGAGATGGGTTTAAATTAAAAAACGGGGGTGAGGGGGTGGTGAAGGTGCCAAGCAAGAACATGGTAATTTCCCTGCTAACCATATCTTTTTGTTCCGAACAGTTGCATGTTTTTAAAATGTGGCTTGTGGTAGGACCAGAGTCCAAAATGTAGACCAGGTGAACTGCTACTACCTTGAAAACAAGCAAAATGACTGTATTCAAAAGAAAGCATGTATCTTCTGTTAGCTTGCTTACAGACACTTGGAAACAGAGCTTTGTTCTTGTAAATGGGACAGTTTCTGAGGCTGCTCTTGACTTAAGAAGCAGGCAGGGCAGTACACTGTGCCATCCCTAATACAACAGTTGTGGAAGCTGGGGAAGTATGAGGGACTGTAGGAAGTGGCCAGGCTCATCTGCTTTCATAGAATCATTAAGGTTGGAACAGACCTCTGAGATCGAGTCCAACCCTTAACCTAACTGCCAGTTCCACCTCTAAACCGTGTCCCTAAGCACCACATCCACACATTTTTTGAACACTTCCAGGGACTGTGATTGCACCACTTCCCTGGGAAGTTTGTTCAAATGCCTAACCGCTCTCTCCATGAAGAAATTTTTCCTAATATCCAATCTAAACCTCCCCTGGCACAACTTGAGGCCGTTTCCTCTCATCCTGTTGCTTGCTACCTGGGAGAAGACACCAACCCCCACCTCGCTACAACCTCCTTTCAGGTAGCTGTAGAGAGAGATAAGGTCTCCCTTCAGTCTCCTTTTTTCCAGGCTAAACAACCCCAGTTCCCTCAGCCGCTCCTTGTAAGACTTGTGCTCCAGACCCTTCACCAACTTTGTTGCCCTCCTCTGGACACGCTCGAGCACCTCCATGTCCTTCTTGTAGTGAGGGGCCCAAAACTGAACACAGTACTCG